CCCCAGGAAAAAAAGGTTTGGGAAACATTGAAGTAGAGGGCAGACATGTGTTTTACCACCAAGTCCATTTGAGGTTATCGTAACATTCATCGTACAAACTGAAGTGTAACGACCGTTCTCTCTTTTCTAAATGAAGATCAAAACATGTCTTCCTCAACGTTGGACTCCGTCCTGTCTCAATTCTAAGCAGAGTGGACATATGTCATGTGGACATGTCGCGTCCTCATCAGTTAAAGTGAAAATTTCAAGCTCTAAGACGATGATCACATGGTTTTGGTCAATTTGGAACTAGATCCCTACTGGAACCAATTTACCCTCCTCATCCATATTTATGACCCAGCAATCGATAATAATTTAAAGGGGGATAATAAGCAGTAATTGAACCCCTGAGAAGGATTTGATTCCTTTTTATCCTCTTAGCTCTGCACACAGCAGAGTGTCAGTGACAGAGCAACACCTCAGGGACTCTGGGGGATTTAGTGTCTTGGTCCTGGTGAAACAGGAAACTGAACCTTTAAGTCTTTTCAGATACGGGTCAGGTGAGATTGACTCTCTGCAAAGAGGACTGAAACGATAATGGATAAATATTAAAACTCCTTTATTTCCTGTAGGACTGTCTTATGAGCCAGATGATGGTCAGGACATTTCCCTCACTTTTTGGGATTTGACTGATTCCCAGCACATTGAATAAAGAGTTTATAGAAAAACTGGAAAGTTTATGGAACTGGAACTGGATTTTACATTTATGACTCATTTTAAATCTAAATTTAAACTTACTGTAAAAAAACAACAAAAACTGCCCGTACACAGCACGTTCTTGGTTCTATGAAATACTGAATTTCAGCCAATCAACCTCCAGCCCCTGCAGCGTGTTGCCCCAAAGAAGCCCCAATGAACGGCCTTTAATTTTTATTGCCGTTTTAATACGCTCGGCTGCTACGGCAAAATATGAGAAGAAAATCCCAACAAGACCATTTTGATAAAAAAGCTGACTTAAAATAAACCGCTGTTTTAGTTGATAGCATTTCACTGCACTTTAGTAAATAAAACAGTAGATATTTGACAATTAATGAGTGATCATTTGAATTTATTTTTTTGCTATTTATTTATAAATGGCTTAAAACTTTCTTTTAAAATCCTAATCTTGTTGGTCTGTAACATACTAAATCATTTGCTGACAAACACAAGTCAAAGCCTGTTTTCTATTGAAAAACGACACATTTTTTTTATTTGTATTTCCATCCTGTTAAGATGAGAGTACAGACTTCAATTGTTAGCATTTTTTACCACAACAACTTGAGATTGTTTCGTGCACTTTGGCCGTTACCAACCACAACAACTGTGCAACAATCAGCGGCAGCATCTCAGAATGCCTCGTCTTTACGGCCGTCCTGTCCCTCCCATGGGTGTTGCTGACGTTTTCAGAGCTATTAGCAAAGGACGACACCAGAGCAGAGGCTCACGGATATTTTTTAGAGGTCGTTCAAGAAACGTGGCTCAGAAATTAAGAGTTGTTTGTAAAAAAAAAAACAAAAAAACATCCTCATTATGATGTCATCACTGGACAAAATGTACTATGGTCAGACTTACTATTTAATCCTGCCATTTAGTTACAGTGAGTCAAAAAGTTCTCAAATTTTTGTAGCGTGTCTGATAAAACTAAAACATGTCTTTCGTACGGAAAAAGTTTGATACAATTATTAAAAATTACAACTCGAAATTGAGATGGTATTTTAACTGTGAGATACTTTGTTGAAATTAAAACACAAACATAAATAACAACACAACGTGATCAGTGTATATTAGAGCGGCGATAATTGGAAGGACATTGAAATTATTGGATGGAGGATTATTGGCCGTCGCAAACGGTGGTTATTTATATCTGCGGAAGAACACCAAGTAGGTCGTGAGCACTTAAATCTGAGCTGCTGTACACAAGAACATGAGAGCCATTTAATTGTCTCCGTATGTTCTTGTGTTTGCGAGAGAAGACACAGTGGCCAATGGCTGAGTGTGAGGAAGATCTTAAAAGGCTTAAAGTGGATTTCCCTAATTACATTTTGTCCAGTGGCGAATTGTACTGTGTCTATGCGATTTAATTGAAATCTGATTCCTGCCATGAGGCTTGTTTCGTTAACTGAAATTAATGTGTGATGAGCGAGGCCAACAATTACCCCGGCCAATCGCATACAGCACACACTGCTTGAGATTCTTCAATGCAATGTAACCTTCGTAAAAACCGCATCGCCACGTGACGCCGCACCAGTGTAGGGTTTCAATACCACATCCCCCAGATCAGTGTGGACACAGAGGGGAGGTGTAGCATGAGATTTAAAAAAAGGAAAAAGAAAATACGGTATACATCGACGTGGGCCTTGACTTGTGTCCTTGAGCCCAAAGAGCGCCTGTACAACAGTAGGTCAAAAATATATATTTTTTTCTGTTATTCTCTTGAGCTTGAAAAGAAAAAGCACAACAAATAGCAACAAGAACTACACATATACATACATATATACACATATATACACATATATACACATATACACATGTATACACATATATATGTACTAAATATCAACTGTATTATTTGAACTGGTTGCTTAATGAAAAAAAAGTTTTTTCTTTTAAAAATATCCTTAAAGAAAATGATCCCTTAGCATAAATATCAACTGTATTATTTGTTGCTTAATGAAAAAAAACATTTTTTTTTTTAAATTATCCTTAAAGAAAATGATCCCTTAGCAAAAACACCAATACTGATTATAATAATTATTTTATTTAATTATATAATTATATATCATTATTACATAATTATAATAATAAGATATAACACATGTTAATAACATAATCAACAACTTTTTGGGAGATGCCGCAGAGACAAAGATGTCTTCATCGCCCACCTTTTAAAGTCCGTTTCCAACATCTGTCTTTACGATTGTTAGAGGTGGTTTCAAGACACATGGTAAGAGTCTTTTGGAAAAATAAAAGCTTTTTTTTTCCCCCCCAACCCTCAACTAACAGAATCACAACCCAGGGGTCCCGGAGGGGGCTGTTGAGTGTGTGTTAAGGGTGTGTTTTCATCCCCACTTCTATTTCTAGGTTAACAATGCTTCAACGTAGGAGGAAGAGACAAGGAAGGGATGAGTGCTCTGCTTCCACTGAGCAGATGTTGGGGGAGATGGGGGAGTGAAGTACCAGTAGGGCAAAGACAGAGACTCTGTAATGATGGATAGAGTCTGTGAAGGAAGAGAGCTGCAGCTGCGTCTGCTGCCGAACCTCCCCCGTGTCTGACTGGGTACTGTAGACAGAGGAGTGAAGACCCACTTTACCAACAATCAGGAATGTAAAGAGGAGGTTCTGCAGATTTGGCAGCTAACCTGGATTCTGTTGTACACTGTTGATTGTTTTACATTTGGTTAAATTAAAGACACAAAAACAGCACCTATTTCAATTGACATCGGAAAGAATGTTTTCACCAAACAGTTGTGGTTTTCTATCACATATTCTTCTTCTTATAGTTTCTCCCTTGACATACATTTAAAGATACAGTAGTCCCTCACTATTTCGCAGTTCATCTTTCGCGGATTCACAACTTCACAGGTTTATATAAAATATACTGTATCCCGGATTTGAATCTGCAAGAGATGTCACAGGAATGGGACGACCATATGGTTCGATCGGTCAAATTTTGCAACAAAATCGACGACGTCATGACTGCCTACAAGCTACTCTTCGACTGGAAAAAGAAGCAGCGGAAGCAACTGCCGATCACAATGTTTTTGCAGCCACGCAAAAAAGAGCCGGTTCCTGCTACTTCTACAGATACACCTACGGAAACCGTGGAAGAGTTGCCCCAAGAAATGTCACCACCCTCTGAAGAGACGTAAAATCAATCATCGGCTGCGCTGTAAAAGTCATCATCACCTTCCTCGTCAACATTTTACTGCGCATAAATATGATGTCACTACTTTGTGGAAATTTGCGATAAACGAGGTATCACTGTATATCATTCGTCTGAAGTAGGTAAAAAGTGCAACAGGCAGGTGGCGCTGTTCCTGCTTTAATGCTGGAATGATTCTTTGTTTGGGGCTGAAAACCCGACAGCTGGGATGCTAACTCAGGGATGTTCTTCCTGCTTTGCCTGCTTAGTGGGCTTCCACTGCCTTTGGCCCCGAGGGAAAATCATTAGCATGCACAATGCTCTGCGTGGCATTTTGATAGAGCAACTAAACAGTCTTACTGAAATGCTGCGCTGGGAATTAAAAAGCCAAGGCCTATTAGTAACAGGGGGCACTGCGTGGAGACACGCTTTAATTACCAAAGCATCTATAAAAAGGTGAAAACCTTTAAAAGGGAAACATGGGGATTACGATTGAAATTAAACTGTTTAACTTTGGCCGAGCAAGACAGACAAGTATGAAGACCTAAAACAAACGGAACAGGCTTAGAATTAAAAATAAGACTAAATTCCCCCAGACCCAGTGACAGGGACATAAACCAGATTGATGGGTGATGTGTCTCGGAGCTGCCCCCTCTGGTCCCAGAAAAGCAGTCTTTTAATACCTAACATTTTTCATATTGTGAAATATTGTACCTGCTCACATTTAATAGCATATCTATCAAAAGAGGTTTAAATGATGGCAGGGCTTTTTCTGTTAAAGACAACGAGCGTTTCTGTATAACTGTAAAGATGCAGTTAAATAAAAAATAAAAATAAGAAGTTAGAAGGAATATTTTTTATACTTTTTTATCTTTAATATATATTTTCTTTTCTTTTTTCGTTTTGTCTTAGGTGGCCTGTGCATTTCTCAGTCGGTGAAAATTCCACGTGAACCCAGAGCTGGAGAATTCGACAAGATTATCCGCAGGCTGAGTGAAAACCCAAACGCCCGTGTGGTTATTATCTTTGCCAACGAGGATGACATCAGGTGAGCACCGATTAAAGTCTGTCAGTCTGTACTGAACATATTTCCAGAACACTTTCAAATATAGTTTCAAAGTTAGATAAACAGACTAAAAGAGAAGAGATTTTAATTTCTCCCTCCCCGATTTCAGAGTTTCTAAATATCAGATGATGAATTTGGAAATTACAATCCTATTTAGAGGAAATTTGTAGGTAAAAACCTGTCTGTTTGTGTCGATTACATGTGACCTTTAGTCACAAACACCATCTTAGGATTTTATCAATGGAAGCAGGGAACGTCAATACACGTGCTTTTTGCTACAAATATGCTGAAAATATCATTAAAAATACAATGCAACATAATAAAAGCAGGGGACGTCAATACACGTGCTACAAAAATTTGCTACAAAAATTCTCAAAATATCATTAAAAATACAATGCAACATGAATCCCTTTGAACAGGACACGACTGTATGGTAACCTATTGTGGTTAAATTAGTTAGTTAAGGCAAGATAAGCAAAAACAAAGTTCATAAACTGTACTGTGCAACAATCAACCGTTGTCACCTACAGTAGGTTTGAACTAAAAAAGAGAACACAGAAAATGACATTATTAAATAACTTATATATATATTCAAAAGAACAGTGACTGCAGCTCCGTTCCTCATACTGTAGTATATAATGATGTGTATGACTACCATGCCTGCAGACTGATACTGCGTTTGACTCTGTTCCTGCTTTTGTTTTTCTTTTTGGTTTAATCAATTTTATGCCCAACACCTTTGTTATCTGCAGCTCTTCTTATCAGACAACATCGCGGTACAGAGTAAAAAAAAAACAACTCTTGTTATGAGAACAGCAAAATGCATCGACTTAAACTCCTGACCTCCTGATAAGATGGATGCTCTATATTAAGAATGAATTAATTGGCTGTAGGCTGAGTCCAAACACTGAACGTGTTGTTGTGTCTTTATAGGGAACCATGTTTCCCAGCAACCGGTTAGTGGGCCAACGTACTCTCAGTGGAAGCTGGCAGTGATTTAGGGCGGTCTTTTGATGATGACCAGGGCAGATGTCCCAGTGCTCATTGACTTAATCCAGTCCTGATAACAGGGTAATAGCCTGGATATCTAGTCATTACAGAACACCAGGGGGATTTCACTGCTGTGAAGCTGCCTGGCCTGAACCTTTCAACGTGATCTCTTACTAGTTCTACAATCCTGGAGTGGTTTAGAGATTAGAGGGAAATAAAGTCAGCCTTTACAATTATTCACCATCGTCTCTGCTCTGTGCTCTCCTCAGCTTGAATCTGACTAAATGAAAAAAGGGAAATTTGTTGCCTTTTAATCAATATTCTATAATGAGTTAATATAATATGATATACAGATATAATACAGATTAATATAATATGATAATGGGAAAATTCATAAACAATGTTTGGCACACTGGTAACACTGATGCATGCACTCCTGCCCAGTAGGTGGCAGTATTGCACATAACGTTTGTTTTCCAGCCACAAAGAAGACAGACATGAGACAGTGAGTGAGGTCAAACCTACGGTGCAATTACTCATAAATATTGATGAAAATTAAACATTTTTGTTTCTTTCACAACACACATATATATTTACATATTCTTTCCCTGTTAAAAAAATGGTTTGTTTGTTTAATTTTAGCTTCATTTCAAAGTTTTACAGTACATTTTCCTCGTTATACTCATATGTATACCAGAATCTGGGTCGCAGTAGTAGTAGTAGTACTAGTAGTATATTTCTTGAATATAACGAGTAAAAACTGTACTTGTTGAAAGTAAAATAAATAAATTAAAAGTTGTACTCATTCAAGTCATGCCATGTATGTAGCCGTTGCTAATTCTTATTTTTTTTCCCAAGTAAAATATATAATGAAATTTAAAATATGCTAATTGTTCTGTCATGAAAGGACAAAGTAAAAAAAAATTTAAAATAAATAAACATTACCAATCAAATCCCCAGGGGTTAAAATATAATAATAAAAAAAAAACTTGGCTTAATGATAAACTTTTTTTTTTTCAAAAAAAAAATCTGCAGCATTTTTATTACAAGGTTATGACTTCATTTTTATGCAACTACCTGCTTTTACAACGGATGCTAAAAGAGTGTCTGCCACGTTAAAAGGTGATGTGGTGAACAACAATATGAGGCTTAATATTTATGGTGGGGGGCCGGGGGGGTTAATGCTTACATGCCAGGTGGCTGGGTTTAAATTTTATGTTGCTGTAGTTGTCGCAGCGCTGGCACTTTTTTTTTTCTTTTTTTTTTAAACAATTCCTACGGCTTAGTCTCCTTGGCAGAAAGCCTGGACAAATGTGACAGGAGTGTCACAGTGACACAGCAGGAACTCCACCAGCTCCGTAGTGGACCAGGCTGTGTCTGCAGCTTAGAATATTTGCAGCACAACTGCAAACTTTGAATTTAGTTAATTTGTCTTTTACAGCTATTCAAGGATAATAAAAAACATGGACATAAATGTAAAACATGACAACATTATCTCGCGTCTTTGTGGTATAAATGAGTTGAAAATTTTGGTCAATATTTCACAATTATGTAAAATTATACCGTTGAATATACTGGTCAATATTTCTTGCAATATTCTTGTAAATCAATAAATTTTTTAGGTCAATATTTGGGTAATATTCTCATTTACTGTGCACTATTCTCATTAATATCCGCGCTTCAAATTGATTTAAATTTCAGTTGTGAAATATTCGACTTAAAACATTTTTATATGCACATTTTAAATGTGCTAAACTTCGATTATGTGTGTAGTGATATATATTATATTTATAATGTAGTATATATATTTTTAACACACTATGTATTTCTTATGTACTGCGAGAACTAAACCTCTGGCTTTTCTTGAAATGCCTCTGCAGCAGCAGCAGCTGTAACGCCAACGATTTTCCCCTGGGGATCGATACAGTCTCTCTGATTCTGATTGTGATTCTGATCTGAGTCTATTTACAAATTGTCCTCCATTTTGGTCCCACAGACGACTACTTCAAGCTGCAAAGAAAGCCAATCAAACAGGTCATTTCATCTGGGTGGGTTCAGACAGCTGGGGCTCCAAAATCACTCCTATTCTCAACCAGGAAGAGATGGCGGAGGGAGCAGTCACCATCCTGCCAAAGCGTCAGTCCATCAAAGGTATTCACAGCACACTTCAGGATTACCAAAGAGACTGATTGCAACCATTTGCTTTTCCTCTTACAAACGCTACATTCTGAAATGTGTCCCCATTTTTATTTTCTTTCTATTAAAACAAGGCTACCTTTAATTAAACATTCATAGATTAGGTGAAGTTTAGTTGTTGACTCTTGTGAATCTCCATTGATTTTAAATGTAAATTATCGTACGCATTATTTCCTGAGTAAAGAAGAAGTATTTTAACATTCGAGAACCCATTCAAAGTTCAGCTTATGTAACCAGGAAAGTTACATCTTATCACCGCTGAATAATTAAAGGCAGTATTTATTATTTCTTTTACACATATGAATAATTCAGCCTGTTATTATCCCGCTGCTGTACTGCTTCTGCTTTGTTGGCAAGGCGCCATCAAACATTGAATGAGTTGCTCATTATAAATTTTCGTCATTTACACCCACTACAAACTCAACAAAAGTTGTATTGCAGATTTTTTCTGTCTTTAAGTTAAGGTCAATGAGTGAAGAAAATAAAAACTGTGTTAAATATCATCCGCGTCTTTTTTTCCTCTTAGGTTTCGATCGCTACTTCATCAGTAGAACATTGGAGAACAACAGGAGGAATATCTGGTTTGCTGAATTCTGGGAGAATAACTTTCAGTGCAAGCTTAGCCGCCATGCTGTGAAGAAAGGATCTGGCATCAAGAAATGCACAAGTGAGTATTCATTAATAGAAGCAAAGATGGAGAGAAGCACTCAGTCAGTGACCATGTATATTGACTGTTGTCTGCTGTGAATACATTGTTTGTGTATGTGTGTAGCTGTTATGCATCAGTTAATGTATATGTCATCGGGGAGTGAGCAATCACAGGTCTCTAATTTAGGCCGAATGTAATGGGCGTAGATAAGTGAAAAGGAATCTCTAATTTCGTCCGAGAGAAATTAATGTTCCCATTACTTGTCTGTTGGTCGGTTCAATTTGCAGTGGTACAAAAACAGCAATCACAAAACTATGCCACCGTCTGCGCTGAAAACATAATCAATAGTAAATCCAATCAGCACATTAGGAAAAAAAGGCTTCCAGGTCATTAAATCAGTACTCTCACCAGGTCTGTCTACAGCCAGAGCACAGAGTCAAGACTGACTCCATTCAGGGAGAGCACTGTAATGTTTCTTTCAAATATATTCCCCCGCTGAAGTGTTGTATAACACAACAGCCCAACCCTGTTATCAGCCGGGAGCTCTCTGCCATTATCAGAGGAAAATGCCTGCTGGATGGTAGAGCTGCGCGTGTGTTTTCCTTCTTCTAGCTCGGCCAGATATAGTCTGGTTTCACATCGATATAAGGGTGTGCCTTACGTCCTATGGTTAATACAATGATATACTATATAACTATAACAAATTGGCCTGGCAAAACACACAGATATATATATAAATATACACATATATATATACATATATATATATACATATACATATATACAAATATATATGTATATATGTAGATATATACACATATATACACATATGCATATGCATATACATATACAAATATATACATATATGCATATACATATACACATATACATATATGGATATACATATATGTATATACATACATACATATACATACATATATATATATATACATACACATACATAAATATATATACATATATATTGCCAACTTATTGTATTTACCTCTAAATACAAACACAAGAGCATATTGGATTAATAGCTATTGCCTCGACCCAGATTAGGTTTGCTCCTTTGGAGGGGTATTAAACACAACACGTGAGCTCTCCGATAACTGTGCAACACTACAAGCTCCAAGGTGCCGACAATGGGTAATGGTCATCACACTAAAGAGCTTGGCTATACAGTAGCTTTAGGTTGGCAACTGCAAACAGACAGACAAAGGCCACGGCTACAGCCCATGTTTCTATGGAAACACAGCACCGGAAATATTGGACACATACAGTAAAACCTCGTCTTGAAAATGCCAAGGCTTTTCAGATGCAAAATAAATCCCAACACTTGGACTTGGAGACCAGCAGCTGAGATTTGTAAACCAATGCTCAACAAGCAAACCTTGGCTCCCATTGGTTACTCCAAGGTTCAACTTAATGAGGTGCCATTTATTATCAACAAGTCGACGGCATCTCTTCCTCTTCTTGTCCTTTTATGCCATCTTTTTCAAAATTCTACTGACACAGGACTCTCACTCAGTTACAACAGATGAAACGGTTAGCAGGGACATAATTGTCAATTCCTTTCACGACAAATCCCCTGACGAATTAGAGCGACGCCTTCAACAATTCACACATAATTGTAAATGATTTCTGCATCCATTGGTTGTCGTCGTGGCCCATCTTCAGCTTAATTGCTGCAGCTCGGTTCTCCTTCTCCGGAGTAGCCTCCAGGGCACCATGAATTTAACAGACAGACAGACAGGTTTTAAAAACAAACATTTTATTCTGAGCTCACTTGTGCCTTCAGGACTTTACTAGCACTACAAATACTACTTTGCACAAAAGAACTTTCTTGTATTTATCAGCTGTCCCCAAACTCCAATTTTTTTTGTACCAAAGACTGGTCGGCTGGTATCAGGCTTTACTGTGGGCCGGTAATACCGCACCACTGTTAAAGGATCATAAGATTTTTGAAAACAAACAACCCGTAGAATTTATTTTCTTAGTCCTGCAGTCTGATTGACCTATTGTTTTGTAACACTATCCATTAATGAAAAAAAAGTAAAGCGATTTTTTCACTGTGTCCCGGTACCAAATGACCTACAGACCGGCGCTCTTCCCAGGACCAGGGGTTGAGGACCCCTGGTAAATATTATGTCTCAGGAAACTGGATATTAAAATTTAACATTTACATTCTAAAGTGCCCTTTATAAACCATCGCACGTGCCGAAATAAACTCCCTCCACGTCCCGGTGTCTGTACGGCCATAAAAGGCCCAAACTATGCTTAGCGCAACATTTTAACAAACGTATTCTGTTTGTGTTATCGAAGCTTTTAATCACACATCACACGTCTTTGGCAATGGATTCGTGCACCGTGACGGCGCCCTCGTAACAGATCATCTTCCAGGACTGTGGCATTAATGTGTAGCAAAGTCACAGAGGAAGAAAAACAACACAGGGAGCAAATGTATAATTCACATGCTGCTGCTTCATCTCTACCCAGTGTTGTGTTTACTGCCCTCAAGGCCGAAGTTTACTTTGTAGCTTCAGACTGGCATCGTCATTCACAACCAACATGTTACTCTGTTTGGATAAAGCAGCAGAAACTCCATCCATATACTGTAGTCTGGCAGCCGTTCTTATCAAACCTACATCGTTTTTACATGTTTTTTTTTCTTCTCTCAATGAAAAAAATATACATATACAAGTTTAATCTTGCAGTTTACATGAGTATTTATTACAGCTGAGCTCTCATAGCTGAGCATCAGTAGGTGCTGCTCATAAAACACCATGACCTGGACACCACTAGTCTTGGGTTTGCTGTCTGGCCTGCTGGGAAGGTGGATATTTACGAAGGCAGTTTGACACAAATCTCGCACCGCGCCGACCTCAGGACTAAATCAAACTCATCCCTGTGTGTGTCGGTGCGGCAGAGCAATAAAAACAGCCAAGTGTTGTCCAAGGATTAGTGCTCTGACCTGAACCTGCTCTTAAAAAATTAAACACAAGATTATTATAATGATCTACCTTTAAGTTAAACCCTGCAGTGTCCATCACTTACATGTGACATCTATCTCCCCAGTAGGTGGTGCTACAGCACAGTTACAATGTCCAGTATCATTAAATAAGTGCGCTAGAACGGCTAGCACTGATTGTTAATTTAGCTTTAGCTAATTAGCCAATGTTGAAATTAAAGAATAGCTCACATTCACACAAGAGAAGCTGATGTTTGTTATGGTAGTAAAAACACTTATTTTAAACATATAGCCCAATCAAAAGAACACACTCCAAATGTTACTACCATAACTCTCTGTTCAACATTTACAGCGAACAACAAAGCATCGCTGGGAGATACCGCTCCCGTTCTCTAATGTAGTAAGATATTTTTAGTATTATGCAATACCTCTGAGGTTAGTCCAGAGGGAGCCCTGAACCATATCTGACCTTGTACGGATTGTTGCAATAACAATCACCAAACATTTCCTAAACGCAAACATATTTGTCCAAGCAAATGTTTATGGAGGAGGTAAAAAAAAAATTCTTAAGGGATGTTGAAAGTGGAACAGACAGAAAAATTTGCAAACAACATGCTATTCACTGGTTAACCACAGGGGCGGAGGCAGACAGAGGGGTTCAAAGGAATGTTCTCTGCATTTATCATTTCAACTATCAATATTTCTCAAGTCTGTTTTTAGCGAATGAGAATCCACCTGCAGGTGTGATGTTTCCATTTGACGTCAATCAGGCACAACACAAAGGCTCAGTGTGCGTGAGGAAAAGCAGCTCGAGTCATTGTGTTACTTTGCATCCCTGCAGATATGAGTCATCAAGGATAAAAGACATGTCTGCTTAACTGCCTGAACCCACTGTTCACTGCAAACATCAAGGACACCCTGCAACTAAGCAGCGTTTGACAGCTTTTCATAGTCAGTGCAGAAGGACCCGCAGTGGTTCAAGATAATTACGGTGTAAAAAGCAAAGAACAGTTTTCCTATTGTAAGAAATTTGCCATCACATCTCGCCATTTTACCCACAAAATTCCGAGGAATTACCTCTATTTATTATTCACTGTTTACAATAGTTACTGGATAAAAAAAAAAACCAAACAGTTCTCTCCATCAATTCAATCTGCAACAGGAAGTTAATTTGATGTGACTATGTCTTTGTTAATAGTGACAAGTACTCAAGCACTGGGGTTTATTTCTGTCTTCCTCTGAATTATAAAAAGGGAATGGGGCCGGCTGATTGGAACAGTTGTCAGACGAAGTTTGTCAGCTCATTTGTGAAGGACGGAAGGATGTCACTTTAGAAATGTAGTATCAGGGTTTTTTCAGATCTGAAAATGTTCTCACGTATTTAGCTAAATGTGAGTATATGTATTATACATTTCATTTATATATACACACATATACATACATATATACATATATATATAAATATATACATATATATACATACATATATACATACATAT